GCGTCGAAATCACCAGGAGTGACTGGCACTTGAACAGAGTTTGCTACCATCCCAAGACTACTGAAAAAAGACACAGATGCTCGTGTTCGTGCCGACCTCCAGCATATCATCTTCACATAACCATGACATGACAAAAGTCATTGTGATCAGCAGGGGCGGAGCCAGGAATTTTATGGTGGGGGGGGCGTGGGGGCCCCCGGCGAGGTACTTCTGTAGCGCCGCAGGCGCTACAGAAGTACCTGGCGGCTCAGTACCTTTCTCGACGGCTTTTTCACAATCTGTAGCTCACTATCTATAGCTCCACCCCTGGTGATCAGCAATTGAGAGCAGCTTTGCAATATAAAGTGAAACAGCCTGGCTTGTGACACTTCGGTTAGCAGGCTGCTTAGTCCTGGCTCGAGTGCTAGCTTGCATGGAAATATCTAAATAACAATATGCATTATTTATAACACTGTTCCCACTTGTATGTAAACAACTATGTAATTGTAGAATTGAACACCAAAACATCTTACTACACTCGACTAATTCAAATGTACTGTGATGAAGACTCGGTCCCACCTCAGCTTCACACTGATATCAGCTCCCTACCTGATACAATCGTCATGACAACGCAATTAAGTCCATCCTAGGTCCATTTTGTTCTCTAAAATGTTCGGTTTAAACACAGCTACGGTGGTTATCGCTTGTTGTATACGTTTGCTTTTTGAGAGTGGGTGGGACGGGACTTTTACATTTCAGATTGATATTCCTTGTATAAAGTGAGGGTATGTAGGGAATCATTGGGGGAAAAGAACGACATCCAGAATCTCGTGAGTCGTCCTTGTATTTGCCACGATATGTGTTTGATAAAGTCCACTGGACAGTTTCGACTTTTCAGAGTTTCGAAGTCAGCTTGTATCCTTTTCAAGACCATTCGATAAGCTTTCACCTAGCTGTCCATTCATAAACATTGTCAGAAATTTCTTGTCGGACTGAATTGACGTACCAGCAATGCGCAAACTTTAGAAAACATTCTTCTCCTTCACAGTAATTCTCGATATTGCTTCACACTGTTCCTGGATATGTATGGCCGAGGCGGCAGGCCCTTCTTTAGAAAACTGCTTATATGTCGGGTGGCCATCACTGCAAACTGTTATGTTCTGACAAAAAACCGGTATCCAAGCTAAATTATAGTCCTAGTTTGATAGCTTATAGGAACTCCAGATGGAAAGTTGTTCGCGGGTATAAATGAGAACTCCAGTTCAGAATCTGTGGATCTATGCACAGAAATGATCATGATTCGAAGGTTTTGAATCGTATTCTGATAAATTTAAGCAATGCCCGAATGCAGAAGAGTACTAAAAGCATTTGCAAAAGGCGTGACTTGCATACAAATAATCATAGAGTACTTGCCTTCGCAATGCTTAAACTGGCTTTCTTGTCACTACTGGATACTTGCACAAGAGATGGCTGAAAGTGTAGCCAAAACTTTTATGAGTGGGAGTTAAGCTCATAAAGTAAAGTACTATCATGAAAGATTCAGTTACTTGTTATCGTTGAATACTGATTGGCCAAAATAAAAATCTAAACTTTTCAGAATGCCTGTGTCATTTTGCCGCTTTCTTACACTTTGCTATATGTTCGACTTTTTAAACACGATTCTCCTCTGTAGTTTGATTTAGCTAAATATTAATGGAATCGAGACACATGTGTATTTTTTGTAAATATGTTGTAACAGTTTGGAACCTGCGACGAGTCCAGACCTGAACAATCAAACTATTCTTGCACTAGAACCACCTTTTCAGCACCAGGAGTGCGAAATTCACAATTTCCTACTAAGAGCATCACAAGAAATGAACGTTTGCATCTACATCAATACTTCAAGTTAATACTAGATATAATCTCATGAAAGAAAAATTGTTTCAGTGTTATGCTTTTATCCAGAAATGCAAAAATAACAAAAGAAGAATGGCGTTATGAAGGAGATAGCATTGGACATGAGAGGTCAGAAACTCATAGTGGTAGCTTTCCTTTGCCAAGTAAAGCGCCAGAAGTATAACACCGACACTCTCAGTGTTTCTAGTGCTTTAATCGAGGCCTTTCATAGTCGTTCTTTGGGCCTCGTGACAGCTTCTTATAGGCCGCTATCGACAGAAGTGGGACAAGATTGGTACTTGATGACTTCATACCTCTTCACTTGTATCGAGATGAAAGAACCTACACTACCCGATTCATGATTTATAACTATTGAATATAATCTCAGCAGAGTCGGATATCATCGCTCCGAAACCAAGTATTGGCCTTGCGTGTTAGCCCAGAGAATTTCTCGAGCAAATCAAAAGCATTGTGAAATTCTCATATATCAGTAACAGAAACAGAAACAGAAAGTACGCAGAAAAGGGAATCAATTCGAAGATTTTCTACCTGCAATAAATTGTAATAAGGTAGATGGGGTTTTTCGAAGACCGTTGCGTTATGTTATACAAACTGTATTTGCAGAAAATTGACCTTGTCGAATGGTCAAATTTCTTCATATCTAGAACTGCCCTCTACGGTTCTCATGATTGAAGTCATGAGTGGAGATTTATTTCCATATGAGGAAAGATGAAGAGGGTAGAGCTGCACTCCTGCACTGTGAGTTGTTGAGCTGGAAGCACCAATGAAAAAACGGAAGATGGAGACTCTGAGAAGCAGTCCCCTTGAGCTCGACAAGTTTCGTCGTGACCGGGTTGTCTTGCTGAGTGCCGGAAAAGTGAATTCTGACTTGCTGATGAAGTTGAGCACAGACGTGTACCATATTAGTCTTGCGACCCAGAACAACAGAACCGAATTTCGTCCTCGCTGACTTGTGTTGCACGCGCTGAAGTCCTGAGGCTGCCCGAGAGCAATATCTGCACCACTCGACGGAACCTTGCGACCCAAATGCTTTGAATAATCTTTCTGGTGATACCAAGGATTTGTGAGTCCAGGCACCGTTTGTTGCTCTTGGTGTTGTCAGCGACTTGAGAGTTTAGTCTAAACTTGTTATCCGCTATATAATGCCGACTGCATGGCTTCATCAGTACAGTTCTCGACTCGGTATATAGCACGAGAACTATCTGCAGAAAACTTATAATTTACAGATCAGCGTGCCACAAGTATTGAAATCCCGAGCATCTCGTGATCACACATCCTTGTAAGTATACAGATGGCAGATTACAATGATGTCCTCAATACTAATACTGACGATCCTCCTCCAACTTGGCTTACTGACAATCAGCAGGAGACGGAGGATTACGATTCGAGAAATGTGGGCTATAGTATCTTCTACATACCATTCTGGTTTCATGGGTTTCACACCATTCTGCTCTTTGGGTGAGAACAGCCAGCAGTCCTCAAGATTAAAGTGCAGACTCCAGATTTAATTGGGCTTCCTTTGAAGATATTTTCTCCTGCGTTGAGTGTGTAAATTAAAATCAACTGAAGGTGGATGACTTGCAGGTAGAGAGGACGAAACGACTCCACTACGTTCTCGATATTGTGAGGAGTCCAACAATGTCGTACTTCCTGCTATTAACGAGATGGCAAGCTATCGCATATATCTATGATGAGATTTTCACTTGTCAGATGGCACGATCTGCTGTAGATTCTGTGGAATCAGGCATACAGTGAAATCTGCTTTGGGTAAATAAGTACAGAGCTGTGTCCAGTGCCATATCAACAATTTTACACGGGATGCATGCGACATTGGTCAGATTTTGAGCAGGAGAAGCTGTTAGTCTTGCTGTCACATTGAGGCATACTGGTGTGGCTACGATGGCTGTTCTCACAGACCATACATGTGGAAGCTTCCAGGCATCAGAAAATGATTCAGTTGCTTAGCTAGGGGTCGCAATGAGGCATACCATTGTGACCGTGTAAAATTCGGTGAGCGCTGGACATAGCCAGTACAAGTATATAGCGTTTTGAAGATCGAACTATGGAAAAGGATATGTATACATTACCCTTTCCAGTATCCTATTATGTCTCAGTGTTTTATTTCCTCTGATTTGCCATCTTCTATGGGCTTCGTTCGTATATAAAGAAACCTATTAAAAAACATTATCATGATGTGACTGACCTCTGTATCTCTTGTCGTATGGACTATGCTGGCATTCTTGGCGTGACATGTAAGGGATTGCTCGCACATATCTTGATTCTCGTCATAACGAGAGATGAATTTGTTGCGAATCCAATCTAAATGGGAGCGTATGAAATGCAACCTACAATCATAGGAAGATCTTCAGGGATTCGTGCAGGCGTGTACTTGAACGTTATATAAGTTCGTATATAACTTTTTCATATGAAGATCTTTCGATTCCAGCTTACTCAAGGAGTGCATCGTTTGCTTCCTGAGAAAGAGACTTCTACATCCAATCGTTCAAGCAGATCTGGTAAGGAATTCACGAATTATGTCCATCGATATGGCATCCATATATTGCTCATGTGCATTCGTAGTGGACATGCAGTAAATATCTGTGGACACGAGTAACTCAACTCTCTATCTCGATGTCTTCAGTGTCTTCTGATGCTTTCGCATCTTCTCGGAGTCTAATAATCTAGGAACATCCCCATCATCATTTGCGAAGGAGAGAATGAACGAAGCACACAGCTAACACTGCATGTTTGGTGCTGAAAATAGAATGAGGATGATACACTGCCATATTTGTTTTCCCGCTTTCATTGTGTTTGCAAAAGGCCTGAAGAATCTTCGCCAAGCACTCCATGATTTCCTATCGTATAAAAAAAGCATCAGATTAGGTCACGTGATAATGTCTAAGTTTATAAATTGGTTTGAGGTCGAACCTCAGACTATGCTGATCGTGCTCTCTATTGTGTTCTAGGCAGCTCCTTGATCTTGTGGGCAGTTTTGAGGCTGCCCACAAGCTCACGTGGTTTCAACTGGATTTAAAATTTCACTAACTCTTATGGGATGTCACCTCCGACTAATAGAGAGAGCTTCCGTCCGAATGATTTGCTCTGATGTCATTCAGGTGTCGAGCTAAACTCTTGAATTCGAATGTAGGTGAAAACCGTGAGACGTAACGTTTAGCCACGTCATGCGATGCGTGAGGAGCATCGCATGCATGGCTCTAGCTTTGCATTCTCTCCGAACATTCTTCTGGAAAGATTTCAGAAGCGGACAAATTCGCAATGTTCAGGGGGACTCGTGTCCGTCGCGATTCGCATGTGCTTCTGGAAAACTGCGTGCGAGCTTGCCTTCTCCTTCAAGCAGTCGCTGAAACTATTTTGCGCCATAATAGACTGACACATAATTGGAAATCGGGACGATTGGCACTTGCAAGCTGATGTCGATCACTGATCGACATCAGTCTTCTGACACTAACTCCTGATCGACGATCAGGAGTTAGTGTCAGAAGACTTATAGGTCAGAAAGACTTGAAACGACTCCTAAGTCCCGTCTTTCGAGAATTTGGAAGTCAAATTATGAAGGGGTACTGTTTCGCTCGAACTGCATGCAGAGACCTTTCGGTGCTGTCATATCGCGAAGTCCACCAGGGAAAGAGCTCGAGGCCCTCTTACCTGCTCCATCCGGAGATCCAAACTTAGAATTGGCTCACAGGTTCCACTGGATCGTCTGAAGTCTCCACCTTTCGGGTGGATGGGAATACCGGCCGGCCTTTTAATCTATTTGCTAACTCTTGCACTCATGGTGGAATGGTATACTTTTTCACGCCAGGTCTACGACAAGTAAGTTTGGTTATCCATAACCATGGTATTCTATTGGTGAACTTCTGCTGAATTTGAACCTCAACATATTGAAACCATCTATTATGCTGATCATTCGATAGGGAACTTCCGTCAGAGAGCTGAATGGCGTAAATATCTGCTTGGAATTCTTGACACCGATGCAGGAAGATATGTTCCTAATTTTAGTGACCGTAAGTGGCAGCGGATAGGAAAGAGGAATCTTGATTGAACAGTCGCATATTATTGGAGGTTTGATTAGCAATATGTTCAACGACAAGATCAGACATCTTCATACCCGAACTACGGTGATGCAAATTCAAACGCGGTGTATGTAAAGATGGATAGAAAATGCAATTCTGTCGTTTGATTTTGGGTGCTCCGGGCTTAAGCGCTTCGCTACTGGCTGAGAAGTAGCGATCAATTTGCTGGCCTGAAATAGTTGAAGAGTATTAGTAACGGCAATGATGAGGATCCACGTTAAACTTGATTTCTAGCGATAAGAGTTGGTGCATGTCAGTCTCATAATGCGATCTGTACGAGACTGCCATGCACCAAATATTATCGGTGTGTAGAGAGAGATATAAAAGGAAAAAACAAGGTAACTCATTTGCAATCTCCTAGCTGCTGAAATCTAATAAACTCAGAAAATCACTTGGAAAGAAAGGGTGATCACGAATCTACGAGCTTCACGAGACGTGCAAAAACAACTTGAACTCAAAAAGTGGCACGAGCAATACAGTAGGTGTCGGGGAAGGAATTATACTAGTCTATATTAGAGAAGAAGAAGTCTACCAAGTCTTCCTCTTCTCCAACCAGGGTCAAAATTTATCTTCAAAATAATGTGAAGGCTAGTATTTGGTCCCGAGTTAAATATCAGATCAATATAAGAGTGTCAGTGCAGGTCTTGTTAAAGAAGAACGAAAGGAGATTGAATACTTTTACACTACAGACTAGAAACGGAATGGATAGTTTGATCAAAAGAGATTGTGCTGTCTTTAGAATTCCTAGAAATTTAAAATGTTTTCCACAGTTCTTCACTTCTAAGAAAAAGTAGAGGTTGAAACCCACATACTTTGGAATCCGGATTTGAATTCTATACATAGAAAGCTTCCCGGTCACTCCTGAAACAAAAAGCTGGATAATGGATCTCAATTCTCATTCTCAATTCTAAATCAGATATCAACAATTAGGACATAAATTCTACTTGTAGCCCTAGTAAAAGACGCACGTCAACAAGTCTTCTACTGTGATAACGTGCTTGATCTAGAAACTCAGGCCAATGAGTGTAGCAAACTAAGCTTGTTCCTGCAACCCAAATTACTGTGCCTTATATGCCATTGAAACGAGAAATTGATCAGAGAACAGTCCTCATCATAAACCTCCTCCAGAATGAGTATCTTGTTGATGTCTGGTTTCACGTTTCAGAGGTGTTATTCAGACTGAGGAAGTCTCAGAGAAAGAATGAAGATATGTCGGCTGGTCCGAACGCGGCTTCTAAACAGTCACGTGCCTCCTTGGAGATACACGCTCCTTTTGCATATTCCTGTGTGACGTGTTCGCAGCAAGCGAGTATGCCAGCCAGATCATTTGTGAGCGCTTTCACAGCTCTTCACCTCAGAACCTGTCACAAGTTGTTTCGATACAAAATTATTATCACCGATAACGAGCCCCCATAAATGGAGCACCTCGAAATCCAGTGTTGGGTTCCTTCCTGTTTAGCTCGACCAAGATCCAATATTAAACAAGCCGGAAAAGAACTCTGGGAACAGAGAGTGTTGCCCGTTTTTTTACAAATTCTGACGTGCGACATGCGTTTTTTGTTTGACAGGGTGCAGATGTTTCAGATCTTTCCTTTGCTTTTGAAATAAATTACATTAAATCAGTTATCAGCTTTATAGGGCTTGTTCTCGTTTGGATATATTATAAATACATTGGGGAGCCCTCGGGATATTCTCAAGGAGTCACCACCCGTAAGGTGCTGACCCTTCGGTTATAAGGTTGGCTGCACTTCTGTTCACACAGCCGAGGCCAGAAGACAAGGACGATATTATCAGACATTGATTGTCTCGAACTTACTAGATCTTTCCACTTCTCTTCCGTCAAGTTCTGAACCTAATTCAAGACTCGACTGAACAGGCAACGCATGACCAGAAGCAGGCATTACCTCACCGGTCAAACGAATTTATTGTATTGTGTTAGAAATTTGAGGTACATTTGTCGTCTTCGGAATGGTTCACGTGTCGATAATCAGTTTACTTGACAAAACCGATTATGACGTGACGGAATAGGTTTATGCGCTATATCGGTATCTAGTTCAGGTCTCTTTGTACTTGACAATATCATTCCAACGTAATCATCTGCGCAGAAGTCATGCTATAGTGAGAAACATGAAAAGTATAGCATTTGGAGCACATTCGATGAGGTAGGCGCTAGACAGCTTCCGATCGCCCCCTCCATCCAATTACTATTACTAGCACTGCTACCTCACTGATTATATGGTCGAGATTCCTTGTATTTGAAGACTTGCATGCATGTCCTCTCAAAACAGACGATGGCACACAATGCTCATGCAAGTTACAGTGTATCAGTGGTCATAACATGAAGATCGAGAACAGAGCCACCACTGCAGCTCCGTGTCAAGAACAATCATGCTTATCAGATTCAGACATTGAGTTCGTCTTTGTAATCAAGTCCAAAGGTCTCCCAATCAACTCTGACACTGGTCAATGCAGTCACTATTAAGATGTTGAGCACATTAAGTTTCTGAATGTTTTCTGTAGGCGGCTAGTACTTACATGTCACATCTCTAACAACATTAAGAGTTCTTACTGATGGTAGCAGAATGAAACGTGAAATTGGAGAACTCGCGGAATGAGAAGAATGCATTGAATTCAGGACAAAGTCAAGTAGTGTTCAGCAGTGTACATATACGGAGTTCAATTCAAAATTTCTCAGCACATTTAAAATTTCAACCGGGGAAAAATGAGCTCAAGCTGCAACATCTGCGTTTGATGATTGTGACAAAAAATTTACTGAATCAACTACATCGAATGGGCGCTAGTACATTCGATGCAGTTGAAACGTAGCTAAACCTGGGAATAACTACACCTGGCCCACAGATTGTCTCAATGCCAGGAGAGTCTTAGATTCGACAAATCACTGTTGGAAAGTGGTTTCCACAGCAGCAACTTGGCTCGTAGTCATGAACAATGCTCTCCAGCATTTGACAGTCGATGCCATAGCGAACAAAGCGAAGGCGTTAGCATATTACCAGGATTCTGATTGTTCAAGATGTTCAGACTCGATGCAAGCACCGCACCTTTCTTCAGCTGGAAGTGTAGCAGGCCTCTGGGACCAATGAAAGCTTCTCCCTTTTTCACGATCTTGCATAGACCTTGTTTAGGTCGTTTCCGAAGTTGTTGGTGACGAACCTCGAATACCTTTCTCCTTCCAACACAAATAGAATCTCAATGTCCAGGTAGTGTGTATTGGGACTCATGATACCCCCGGGATTGATGTCCAGCCGTATAAGAGACAACCCTAAGTGTTCAGAGCTGGCGAGGGTTGCAGTTCGGATGATAGCAACTTTTCTGGGATCTGTAGCTTCAGAATGCCCAGACAATACGAACTCCTACTTTGAAGCAAGTGCGAGCAACTTGCAAGGAAAATCATTTGAAGCTGGTCCGGAGGCAATATCTGCAGTGCAGAATCGTGCAGTGGATAAGGATCTGCTGCATGGACAACTTCAGCAGCCAACGTCAATTAGCGACAAGGATCACAGCAGCAAGGAGTTTCATTCCGGACATATTGCAGTGATTCTTCGAGAGATCCGTCCTCGCCGTCAGCGTTGTGCACTGAGAACCACCAGAACCAGTCTCGGACCTGAGCTCTGGCTTTTGCAATTAAAACTTCACCTCTAACTAGCAGTGTTCAATACCTCGACTGCTGCACTAAATACACCCTAATGCTTTATGCGACCGAGAGAGATACTAGGACATGCGTAATCAGTGAGGGAAAAGTGTCGAGGTATGTTGTGCGGTGTGTTAACTCGTTTTTCAGCTGCACTTCATGTTCTGGGCATGGACGTCTCTGTATAAAGAGGTTGCTTGAGCCGCAAGACGTAACCCTACAGGTGCCATATTCCCATATTGCGCAGGGAAGTCTGGGTCAAAGAGTGTGTAATCTAGTGACGCAGCGGCCAGGCAGCCTCTCGGACATGTTTGAAATATTTTCTTCGGAGTAGTTGTGAATATCTGCAAACTAAATATGACAAACAATCAACAGCCAATATGGCCGTCGCAACTTATATATTTCGTGGACAGACTGACATATGCATAAAGCCATCGAGAAATTACATATAGCTCCCACCTTTGCACTAGATATTGGCAGTTCATTGAATTTGAAAGATTCACGATCCTCACATATTTGTGAGTACTCAATCAGGCCTTCAAAACCCCGCGGGTGCTGCAAACGGCTATATTCGTCACAAACCAATTAGAAAACCTGATTTTGTTGCATATGTCCTCTACCTTCCCATGAGCCAGGACTTCTAAGAAAGACTCATTAGCTCAAAACCAATCCACGTTTACTGCAGAAGATGTTCATCAGCCTTCGTGGACTGCGTCAGAAGGGAGGAGGCTGGTGAGAAAATTGCGCCTCGCTGAGAAAAGACAACCTCGTTTCCCACAGGGTGTCAGGCCTTCCAAGTTATTTGAGCTATAAATTACCTGCTAGAGGAACAAGTTATAGGACTACATAATGACTTCATCTATTCACTTGAAACATATCAAGACATACTTATCACGCATACCCATTTTTGCTTATTTTCAGAATATTGTTCTACTAATCCAAAGAAACAAGTCAGTGGAATTGTCAGTAACCTACTTTGGTTACTTTACGTAAACTTGGCATAAAAGTTATGGAACAAAAAATTAAGATCATTCAATGGATAACTACTTGAAAAAACCCAACAACTAGCCATTTAAATTATCTGTTTGTTTTTGCGCTATTCTCATTATCATCCCGTTTGTACTCATGTCACTTTCTTTAGCCTCCTTTTGATCGCTGACACTTGTGTTTGCCCTATCCACCCAATTCTAGTTGTCTTGTTCACTGATGCTTTCAAAAATTGTAACTTGTGTTCTCAACTCAGTTTTTGCCTTGCACATCGACATCCATTTTCTTGTTATGTGTTAACTCAGTTATTCATTCAAATCAGGTTAGCTTAAATGCAATTAGCTAGGCTGGTTAGACTTACCTTTAAAAAAGGAGCTCATCAAAATTGTGCAACCTTATGTTAATTTTGTGGATTCTGCGATTGAGTTTTTTTTTTAATTTTAACATTTTTTTTCACAATGCATGTTCATGTGCTCTTGAAAGTCGTCACTTGTCTTACAGTGAATGACAGTTTTCATAAGCTAGAATCTTGTGGAGTTCTAAAAGATAGGATTTTTTGTGACAGAATTTTTTCAAGAGATTGTGACGGTGAATTCTTTCATTAGTATCTGTTGATAAACCTCTAGATGAAAATAATCCATAGAATCTTTCCGAAGAATTAAAACTTCGAGTCCTTGTTATTGACAGTTTTTTTTACACGAAGTCAGAGTTTGCATTAAGGTTTTCAAGGTTTCCATTCTTCATCACTATGTCTCGAAAAAATGTTGAGATGGGAAAGTGTTGAGTACGCAGAGCAAGAGTGAGGCTAGGCAAGAGACAAACGGAGGTGGAGCGGCGAGTGTTTCTTCTCGCATGAGTGGAGCAGCACATCCCCTCCCCCCGCAGGTATTGCAGGTGTTTTTTGTCACAAAACGGAGCGGTTCACCCCCTCACTCCAGGTCGCACAAGAGCAGTTAGGGCAGAGCGGAGCAGCCCTAACCCAGGGAGGGTAGCAGCATGAGGTGGAGGCCTTCCCCACTCCCCCTCAAGTCGCACAGGTGTTAGACCGCCCACACCCTCCTCCCTAAACCCTCCACGGAGGGAGCAGCAGGCACAGCGGCCGCAGTAGAGCAGCCCTAATTCGCTCGCAAGCAGACAATTCAAGCCAGACCGTTTTTTTTTCTCCTAAAGATTTTGATTCGCAAAAGATTCCATCATATTAGTGAAATATTTCGCTTGTGCATATTCCGTTCCAAACACTCCTTGCCAGAATATAGTCAAATTGGGTATTGTTAGAAAGCTCTTGACGTGACTAGTGCATCTTGACCATTTTCATAAGCTGAAAATGCATTCAAATAACAAAATTGACGTGGAAGAAGATGTTGTCTCTAGTTTTCGTCGAACTGAGATGGCATCGAAACAGGTTGGAGGAACAAGGTACAACATTCTTACTCTTGATGGCCGATGTGATAATCTGCTTTGGGATAACAAGTGACGAAAGCCCTTGGGCCCCGGGGGGACTGTCAGAAAAAAAAAGGGAAAAAAATTAACAAAAATTGAAAAAAAAAAAGAAAAAAACTCACAAGGCACTTTTTCTCTATTTTTTTTTCTGCTTTTTGCGTTCGCCCTTGCATGCCTTAAACTTGCTCTTTTTAAGTGAAAGCTTTATTGGTTCGTAGCAAATCCTAAACCAATCTAAGTTGGAATCTTAGCATTTCCTATTTCCTATCGAAGCACTTGCACTTAAAAAGAGCAAGTGCAAGGGGCGCTACGCGCACCGATGCTCTTGCACTTGCTCTATCAGCTTTTGTGTTTCACTGCAAGGTTGGAGCCGGCCCCCGGACTTTGTTTTGTCGGACACCACAAAATCAAAAAACTGTTTGACAAAATAAAGGGAAAGAGCCTACGTGCCTAAACAGGTGTTACACTTCATCGCCTGAAGTTCCTTTTCTTGACCTATAAGAGCATCCCGAACCGGACGTGCAAGATTTGCTCGCATGAGGCTCTCCGAGTAAATTTTCGGGATTTGAAAGACTGTAATAATCCACCAAAGGCTAAAACTGCAGTATGGTGGTAAAAAGATCGAACCCACAGGGACAGAGGCAACACACAGAGTAAAAGTGTCACGTTTAACAGACTTTTGTAGAGTTTGAATTCTAGGCGACTGTCACTCCCAGAAATACTGCAGTGCTCGACTCGGAGGCTCGACTCGGAGGAGGATCTCAACTCGGAGGATGCTCGGAGGATGCACGGTACAGCTTGGTCACTCAACACACACACACACACCTGAAACTGGCAAAAAGCACAACTCGGAGGTCGGTCAGGACCTCCGCTTCGGATTTCAGGAGGAAAGTGTCTCACAAGTTCACTCAGAGGTTCTGCAGGTAGTGCCTCCCACTCCGGCTTTTACTGCCCTTCCGCCAGGAACTAGCGGGGGTACCCGGACTGGACTTCCCACTTCGGAACGAAGCCTCTACATACGCCGTGGACGTCACCCTCGACTATCACACCAAACGCAGGGAGTGCAGACCCGACTGAGAACTTACTGAAAACACGATCCAGTAACACACACACAACCTGAATTACAAACCAAGGTTTACACGAAGTAATGAAACTTCACATTGGCATTCAGGGGAAACTTCCCGTAGGAGTACAATCAGGATATGTCACTCGAAGGAGTAAGGGGGAACTGTTCAAGTCTCTAACTCGCAGCCGGCTCTGAGCATTAGAAATCACCCGCAGGTGCAGATCCGCACTGCTCAAGTCTCTAACCGGGTGCTAGCTCTGAACATTCAGCCGAAGGCCTTCAACTACAACATACGGTAACTTCGCTATGCTGCAGCTTCTCTACGTGGTGCCAGGACCAAAATGCACAAACACGCCAAGAAAGTGAGTTCCTGATCTGCACTTCCGAAACTGGAAGAGTCCCAGGGCAAAACGCCTTGAACTACTTTATACTCTCTAAGGTCCTAACTAACACTACGCTACCCGCTAGGGTGCGAGCCGCAACAGATCCTACACCTGAGGAGTCGGCGGCTACCTTCCCCTCTAACTTACAACCTAAATCTAACCCTAACCCTAAATCTGAATCCTAAGCCTACTGTACAGAGCCGCCAGCGTCTTTACATCCGAGATCTGAGGCTGAATATTTGCAGGCATGCGTGGCCGACTGAGATCAACGGCCCCACCAAATTTCAGATCCATCCGACCGTCCATCGCAAAGATATGGACTCCGCAAGATCTCTGAACCGCATCCGGTTTGCCGACTCCGAGTTTGCCGACTTGAAGTTCGCCGACCTCGAGTTCGCCGACTCCGAGTTCTCCGAAGGCGTTGACCGCCGAAGACGCACTTCCGCACCTTTGCCTATTTGTAACAGTCACTTCCGACACCCATAACTCACAGATCCTTGATCCGTTTCAAGAGTTTTTGGGCTCGTTGGAACGAGCGCGTCGAGTTCTTTCTAACGAAACCCTAACTGAGTCAAACCGTTGCGAGTTGAAAGAGTTATGCCGGTTTTATCCTTCGCCGAAGGCACACTCTCGAAGGCTTGTTATCTGTTATCGCCGAAGGCGCCCGCACGATGTTTCGCCGACTCCAAGTTTTCCGACCTCGAGTTCTCCGACTTGAAGTTTGCCGACCTCGAGTTTTCCGACTTGGAGTTCGCCGACCTCAAGTTCTCCGACCTCGAGTTCGCCGTTTTGCCAACTCCGAGTTTGCTGACTTGAAGTTCTTTGACCTCGAGTTCGCCGACCTCAAGTTCTCCGACCTCGAGTTCTCCGACTTGAAGTTCGCCAACCTCGAGTTCTCCGACTTGAAGTTCTTTGACCTCGAGTTCGCCGACCTCAAGTTTGCCGACTCCGAGTTTGCTGACTTGAAGTTCTTTGACCTCGAGTTCGCCGACCTCAAGTTTTCCGACCTCGAGTTTGCCGACCTCAAGTTTTCCGACCTCGAGTTCTCCGACCTCGAGTTTGCCTACTTGAAGTTGACCCGTAGACGTCCGTCGCCGAAGGCGAACATCTAGGGCCGAAGGTGGATATTTTGCTGACGACGAACTCCTTCCGCCTATCCGTAGGCGTTCTCCTTCGCATCTTCCGACATTCACAACTCCCTGAGTCCTCATCCGTTCCAAGCGTTCTTGGGCTCGTTAGAACGAACGCGTCGAGCTCTTTCCAACGAGACCCTAAGTAACTCAAGGCGTTAAGAATTGAGGAAGTTATGAGTGATCTACCGCCGAAGGTGCTCGAAGCGAGTCCTGCAGCGTGA